TCTCTTCCGGGCCGGGTCTGGCCGGGCCTGGAAATTAAATATTCGGTCGGGCTCGGGCCGGGCACAGGCCGTGCCTCTACAAGGCCGGGTCGGGCCGGGCCTAGAAATTCCGACCCGTGCAGTGCTCTAGACTCAGAAGTACAAATCTAGGCTACATGATGGGAACCATCGTGGTAGCGTACCACCATCGGACAGCGCTCTCGCTCTCGACCCACAGTCCTTTTCTCGCGCTGTTTGGTCTCGCCTGGCTGTGACCCGATGCCGCATTCGGTCTGACAACAGCCAGTCGCATCTTCATGGCGCGGGAATCCACGTGTGCGGTCCTGGATGCCGAGGAGTCAGCTTAAACACAAGCTTCCGAGAACACAACTTTCCTGCACTCCGAGCTTCGTATGCGACTTCAGGAATGCGCCCAGCAAACTAAAATAAATGGGCTAAAACACAATGGCACTCGCTTACACAAGGAAGACACGGAGGGGAGAGTTTGAGTTTCGGGGTTTCCTACAGCGCTCTTATGTTTGGCGCTATCTATACGAAACTAAACATACGTAAGGTGTATCTAAAAAAAAAAAAAAATTCTGGAGAATCATTCCCAGACAATGGGAAATATCGACACAAAATAGTGCGCGAAAAGGGGTGAACAAAACTGCAACGCCGCTACAAGGGAGGACGCCGAGAAATGCACGCCAAAAGGAACAACACAAGAGCAAGCCCGCCGGCTATATGTTCGACAAATCTTTCGCTTCTCCTAAAAAAAAACGAGAGTGACGGAAGTAACTATATCGCGTCTGATTGGTTAGAGGTTCAAATGACAAAACTTCCCTCTTTCGTCATTTGAGCCTCTAGCCAATCAGACTTAATATCGTCACTTCCGTCATTTCTGTTTCTTCTTAGGAGAAACGAAACATTTGTCGAACATAGCCCCCAGCTTAGCAGTTTTAGTTCTCTATTAGATGACACCCCATTCTTTACCCTGGGTCGTCGCTTCCGAGGCAGAGCAGCGAATGTGTTAGAGATGTAGGAATGACGATAAAGTGCCCGTCTAAAGCTCGTGCATGGGGCTTCCAGTACAGAATACATTAGCATAAATCGACTTCATGAGTGCGGATCTTAGGCTACTCAAATTCTTGCTTAATAAAAAAAAAAAATAGGAATCCGTTCAATGAACAAATAGCGTATATTAATTTAAATGAATGCTGTAGGAGAAGCGCAAAAGTAAACTCACTCACACTGAAAATACACGCACACCAGAAAAACGGTTCCTCACGTCGCGCTGACTTACAACTCAGGACTTTTGGGCATTCACTGCCGCGCCTGTGGGTGGACTGCGGACTTCAAGAACAGCACCGTAATTGGAAATAACTATCACCAATCAACACGTGAGATAATAGAGGCAGCTAACATCATGAAAAAGGAGTGACACTTGTGTTAGTAGTCAATCCATAACGCTTACTGAAAAATAAGTGTTGTATCTTGACTCTTGAAGGTAATGTGTGATAGATATTGCTAGCTGTTTTGTACAGAAGAGAACGAAGTGAGATATAATTTTAATATGGGAAAATAAAGAAAGAAAGAAGACGAAAATACAAACTGAGTTGTAAGTCAGCGCGACGTGAGTGACTGTTTTTCTTGTGTGCGTGTATTTTCAGTGCGGGTGAGTTCACTTTTGCGCTTCTCTTACAGTATGATTATCCAACTCACCCAAGCATCCATTCTAAGATGAAATGAATGCACGACTTGTTTATTTTTCGTCCTCGAATGTTGATTTGCCAAAGAACATATGGAGCGTTTCTATATTTAACATTGTACTTTCACAACGAGCTGAATGATACCCACCGAGTTTTGTGTAATATAAAACATAGGATCATTATAGTTCCAAAGGAGGCACGCTGTTTTTTGGGTCACGCATTTCTTTAGTGAATAAAAAAATATCAATTTAGTATTGGAAACTCGTCTTGTGCAACAAGATCACCGCCGTACTTTTCTCTGTGAATGGTTTCGGGGCAAATTCTCGGCGATATAGTCTTCTAATTATTTGTCCGGTTTTAACGTAATATATATTGGTAAGGCTTCGGAAAATACTGTCTTCGACTACATCTAAGGTTCCTTAGATTGTTGTTCAATCTCACACCATAAGTCAGTGCACGCTCAAAGGCTAGAAATAGTTTTAGATAGTAACAGCGTTACTATTCTGACGCGGTACTGCAAATTCTTTCTTTTTGGTAATCTTTACCTGTAACGAGCTACTTTCTTAAAACGTAGCTTGTACTGTTCCTATATCATTTTGTTTCTGAAGTAATGATGAAAGTAACGGCGCTGCTTTCGTCGTCATTTTCCAGTTTCTTGGTGAACCATATATAATTCAACGAGTACAATCTAGCCATTTCTTGCAATTTAAAAAGTAAGTGTTCCGATATTTCGAGTGCCAAACGGACCTAGCACAAGCTTGTGAATTCCTTCATTTTCGCGAGGTACGACCCAAATATAGCCCCGTATAGAACAAATTATTATGGTATGGATAAAAAATAATCTTGTCATCTTTGCGCACGAGCTTGTACATTTTTTTTTTCTGGGCAATAGCGTTTTAGTTTTTTTAGTTGCTTGAATCAACGGCGAAACATTATATGCGCAGGAGTCTGGGCTTGTTTCGTATTCTCATTAGCGCCACTTCTGCGGCGTGGTGTCAACAGTCTAGACAGGAGTGGCCAAGCTGCGGCTCGCGAGCCGCATGCGGCTCTTCGCGTCTTAAAGTGCGGCTCGCGGCTCCCTCCCCTAACCCCCTCCCCCCATACTCCCCCGCCTCCCTCTCGGTCACAGGAGCACTTCCCCAAAAAGAGAAATGGAACGCGTTTTAGGTCGAAAGTCAGGTTGCGGTTTGGTAGTCTTGTGCTACTGCTACTTACATTACGTACACTTTGACTAGATTTGACTCGGGTAGATGAAAAGTAGTTCAAGTTTCGTTTATTGCTCCAAACAAGTTTGCCGCCTTTCCCCCCTCCCTTCCCCACCCCCCCCTTTCCCCCCCGCCCCCGCGGTCTTGGAAGTTTCGTGGTTTTGTTTGCGGCTCTTAGGCCGGGTCAGCCTGGCCACCCCTGGTCTAGGCAAAACGTAGTGCTGTTTGCGGGGGGTTTGTTCCTGGTTTGCCGGAGACGAAGTGAAATATGTCCAGGGACTCCACGAACCCAGCGCAACTATCAACGAACCAGCAAAGTTCTGCCAAGGATAGGGACGTTGATGAGAACCAAGAAGAACTATCGTGGCCGGTGTGCAGAGAGTACTTTCCTGTGGTGAAGGTGGTTGTCAGCAACTTAAACCCAGTATGAAAGCTTTGCAACAAGTCCCCCCCCCTCCCCTCAGTGTTCAAGTCAGAAAAAACAGCTCTCAGTGAGGTTTGCTGTTCATTCTGTTCATACAATTGGCTTTTTTGCAGCGGATCTATGAAGCTTGAATTTATCGCTATGTTGAAAGGCCGACTTACTTGCGTTAATATTTTTTTTTTTGTGGAGAAGTTTTTGTTTTTTGTGGAATTTATAAAAATCATTATTCCGCGCTTGGAGAGCTTGACACCCGGAAGCGCAAGTGTGATTCTTCAGCACCTTCCCCACCATGGCACCAGCGAAGAAAATCAGAAGTGAAAATCAAAAGCTCGTGACTTTCTTCTCTGCAGTCAATTGCCACGTTCGACCAAAAGTATCACCTCAAGCGGAATTGGAACGTTTGGCGGTCAAGTTTAATAGTGGAAAAGTGCAGCGCTTTTCTCTTGTTGAGAACAATACATTTCAACATCCTGCACAGGGCTTGAAAGCAAGCCGAACTCTTGTGACCCAAACAACTATGGTAGCTTACATCGACAGCATGCATGTACAAAAAGAGGAAAGCTTCCTTGGTGAAGGACCTTGAGGAAACTTCTGTTGTTTGCTGTATAGCATACTGTTGGACGGCAGAAATCAGTATGTTATCTAAACTTACTTTGTCCAGGAAATCAGAGTCGTTTTTATATTGTGTATTTTAATTAGAATATTCTTGTTTATTTAAGAAGCTTCCTTGGCGTCGCAGGTATTTATTTACCTTGACGGTGAAAGCTTGGCCAGAAATTCACCAGCACTAGCTTGCCGACGACTCCATGGCTGCCATATATACAACGTAGCTTCTCTGCGTGATTTTTTTGCAGAATATAAGCTCGAAAACAAGACCTGCACAGCCGCCACCGACAATGGCTGTAATTATATTAACGTATTCAGGTATACGCTGAACTTCCAGACAAAAAGTATGAACGTTTCTGTTTTTCTCTCGACATTGCGCTTGCGGCTTGCCACTGATTTCATATGCACTTCGGATACAGTTCAGAGGACAGTGAAGATGAAGGCGGTGCGTTAGCCCCTTTCAGCATCACAGCGGTACTAACCCTTTAAGCGCCGAGGACGAGTCTGACTCGTCCACGGAGTTCGTCCCGAAAATGCCGAGGACGAGCGTCGCTCGTCCGTTCGTTTCAGCCCGCGTCTGTAGTGCCAGCGACGAGGCACGCTCGTCCAGTCTATTTTTACGTTGAGAATAGTTCTCCCGCTAGCCACCAGGAGGAAAAGCGAGCCGAAATTTCGCTAATTTTGGCATCATTTTGAGAATCTATCGTGCTCCTCCGGCAACATGGGTTTTTAAAAATGGCGTCTCTTTTGAGTGGTGGCATGCGTCGCTCGTCTCGGAAGCGCGTATCTTTAGTTGATGATGAGTTTTCTAGTTTGGATGATGATGACTTTGCGCTAGACGATAGCGACGGAAGCGGAGAGTCCGCGGAAGAGTTTGAAAGCTCCAGTGACTCGGACCTTAGCGGCGATGAGGTCCTTGCTTCGGCGCGGGACTGGACAAAGGTGGACACGACAAATCCTCCACGAGCTCCTCCCCGCTTTCCGTTTACTGCCACGCCGGGTGTCTCCGCTGGTCTCGACGAAAACGACACCCTCGACGCTGTTGGGTACTTGGAACTCTTTCTGAGCCCGGACGTAATGACTCAGATCGTCAAGGAAACAAACAGGTATGCCGATCAACACTTGGCGACCGCACCGATCTCAAGGGGCTCCCGTGTGAAGGCGTGGAAACCGGTGACGGAAGCAGAAATGAAAGTCTTCTTTGCCCTGCTGCTTTTACAGGGAATAGTAGACAAGCCAATTGTCGAGTGGTATTGGTCAAAGCGCAGAGTGATTGAAACCCCAGTGTTCGGAGAGGTGATGAGTAAGAGCCGATTTATTCTGCTCATGAAGTTTCTCCACTTTGCAAACAACGAAGATGATGCTGGTGAAGTGGGGCAAGCGCGTCAGAAACTTCGCAAGATCTGGCCGGTGCAGTCGCTCATGAAAGAGCGCTTCAAAGCAAGCTACATGCCAGAAGAGAATATATCCATTGACGAGAGCCTCATGCTCTACAAGGGACGACTCTCCTGGAAACAGTTCCTTCCGCTAAAACGGTCCCGCTTCGGCGTGAAGTTCTATGTGCTGTGTGAAGCAGCATGCGGCTACATATGGGACGTCGTCATCTGCACAGGCAAGGGCACTGACGTCGACGATCAGGCAAGCGCCATGGGGACGAAAGTCGTCATGAGACTAATGGAGCCACTGCTGGACCAGGGCTATTGCCTTACTGTGGATAATTTCTACACGTCGCCGGAGTTGGTTGAAAAACTTCTGAGCCGCAAGACTGACGTCTACGGCACTGTGCGACCGTCCCGCAGAGATATGCCACCTCTCAAAGATGCTAATCTCAAAAAGGGAGATATTGTGGCATACCAGCGTGGAAAGTGCATGGCACTCTAGTGGAGGGATAAAAAGCTCGTGACTTTGCTGTCCACTGTGCATGATGCCACCATGACAGAAATGGTAAATAGGAAGAAAGAGACAGTCTCGAAACCAGCTGTAGTCATCGACTACAACCACACCATGGGTGGTGTTGACAAGAGTGATCAGATGCTTTCCTACTACCCTACAACCAGAAGTCGACAAAAAATTTATTACAAGAAGATTTTCCGTCACCTCCTAGACATGGCAGTCTTCAACGCATTTTTGCTCTACCAGAAACAAGGCGGGAAACTGAGCCACCTGGAGTTCCGGCTGGCGCTGGTCGAAGGAATGGTCCAGAAGTACCACGATCCGAACCGCACCCTCAAGAGAGGCAGGCCGTCCGACACCAGCTTGCTGCGTCTGACCGCCAGACACTTTGTGTCCTACATCCCACCGACACCTGGAAAGGAGCTGCCAACACGAAGGTGCGTCGTGTGCTGCAAGGCACGAGGTGGTGGGGACAAGAAGGTGCGCAAAGAAACGCGCTACTGGTGCAAGGACTGTGGCGTGGGACTGTGCGCCATCCCAGGCTTCGAGGTGTACCACACCAAGGCACAGTTTTGAATGTTTATAGAGTTCTTCTCCAAAGGGTGTAGAAGTCTGCATTTCCAGTTTTTAGAACTTTGTTTTTCAACTACGGAATTCCTGATGCCGTCTCGGTTCCCATTTTTAATTTTTTTTGCCTCATATGGTCTAAGATAAGATCAATTTTCGTTTTTAGTTGTTAAACTTTTATGCCCATGTCTTATATGCTTGAAATAGGGAAAAATTCTTCTATCAAAGTGTGCAATAAAAAAAATTGCATTTTGGTTACATTTTTTCGAAAACTGACTGGCGTTTAAAGGGCTAAACGGCGATCCATATGAAACAGCTTCTAGGGATGTAATTCACTTTTCACTGAAGGTGCGCCGGTCACACTCTAAATCTTATTGCAACCGTCGACGTTCAGAAGGGTTGCAGTGACCGTTTCTACTGCAGCATTAAAAGAGTCGCTTTTTCTAAACTCAAATATTTTTGGAACAAGCAATGGACACTCTGTCCTTGCAGCCTAATTCATCAAGCAGAAATTAGGAAGGTACATTTTAGTCCCTAACACGACGAGGCAAAACTTGTACGATTCGTTGAGCTTCATCTAAGACACCCCAAAATTCAAGATCGACGCTGTGCGCGATGTCTTATCGTTGTCGCGACTGCCAAGGAACAATATTTTTTAGCGCTGAGCACTGTCAGGTATGTTCCCGGCTTTTAGTTTCAATTATTCATGTAGATAACCCGTTACACTCATAAATTCTATTAGTGAATGAGAGGAGTTACCGGAGCCCCTGACATTTTACAATGAGAAAAATATTTTCCATGGGAGCTTTATTGCTAACTCTCCAATTCATAATGCGACACATATGTTCACTCCGTGAATTCAAGTTCCGTGGGCCGCTCGTGAAAGTATTGATCAAGTTGGCTGTCAAAGGGAAGGAGAGTTTAATTTTTTTTATTATTATTAATGCCCTCTCATAGCTCACTCTCGTGAAATGGGTATACTCTGCTTTCCCTTGCGTCCCTCGGAATCAAAATCTGGCATATATTTCGTAAAATTCATAAACCTTTTCCTATTCTGAGGTGCTGATGACCTCAACTTTGACGAAACTCTTCTGGCTGCTGTAGTACACCCAAAATGTAGGTTTTCACGGACATATTGCCGCGCGCAGGGTCACGGACTCGTTGAAGGTTCTCGTTTATTGTTGCTCCGGACATAACTTCTATCGTTTATCCCTGCTTTTGTTGTTCTAGAAAGTGCATGTTCATTCTCGCCCCGAGCGCGCTACACTCGAAACATCTTCGCTGAATCTTCGAGATAGTGACTCACTCTAGATAAGAGGCCGCCCACTACCTTGTCGAGTCAGTTTCGCCCCAGCGTTCGACTCTGCCCTGTCGCCGACTTCGACGCTCGCGACGCTCTGCTCTTATCTTCTGTCTCCTTTTTATTTTCTTTTGGGCACAAGTTCGCCCCATTAAACGTTGAGTTTCTTCAGTTATTATCGCCTCATCACTTGTCATTCGTGACATTTTGGTGGAGGTGCGGGGTAGTTGCGTTCCATGCCCGTGTACCGTAACCCTTCGAAAACACGCCGGCCAAGTGACGTGCTCAGCCCTGGCAGGCTCCCCTTCGCAGAAGACCAGATCAAGGCCCGGTCAAGTCGCCGTAGCCAAGGCCTACTCCCGGAACTCGGACCCCTGCCGCAGAAATCAAAGAAGAAGACCGCGACGATGACCACTCCACCCGTCGTTGTCCTACCCGTCGCTGCCCGTACGCCCGCGTCCTTTCACGGTGAGCCTTATGAAGACATCGAGGACTGCCCTATTGAAAAAGGCCAATATGAACTCGGCTTGTTGGAAATATTGTATTCCAATGAAGTTGATGGAAACAAAAACTTATTGTTATCCGATTAACCCAATACGCACGATGGGAATTCATATCGGAGCACAATATCCCGATGTAGTATGCGGTTATTGGTATACAACAGGATATTGGAGCACAATATCCCGATATAACTTGCGGTTATTGGTATGCAACCCGATATCGGAGCACAATATCCCGACAGAACTTACGGTTATTGGAATAGAATACGACACCGCGTGCATACTGGTGACCGACATGGACATACTGTGCGGCCACCCGATATATAAATATCGGTCGTCGATCACGGGCCCAAAGGAGAATGCAATATCGCGTGGATAAATCTCAGAACGAATTCCAAGTTACCAACATGAATTACGTCGGCACATACCGCGGACTAAGAGGATACGTAACACAGTATTGATTGCCCGTGAAGCAACATGTGGATATCGGTACGCCCACATATACGACATTGCGTGAATGATATCGTAGAACAGCAGGAGTTACCATACGGCAATACGAGAGAGAACGATATTGGAGGTGGATACACACAGAACACAAACGTTCCGCGTTGCAAACACATTCACATTGATCGAAAGCGCAAGTGTACGTACGGCACACAGTACACACAGCCTCAAGCGCTTGAAATGCTAGACAACCACCAAACTATTCAGAATAACTAGCTGGGACACCCGCGACCTACCTTTCAATGAGAAAGCCCAATAACGACGTGCTCATTGGAGTGATCGTTTTCAAACAAATGTTTATTGCAGTTTTAATGCAACAAAAGTTAGGTTACCGATGTTGGAACCCAAATCGAACGCGATACGTGACAATGTCAGTTCGCACGATAAAATAATGAGGATGAATGGGCTTGACAGGTCACGTGCTTCTTACCCGCACATTCATCGATATTGACCCACCTTTCTGGGTAATCCTACGTCGTACACAAAATCCACAAGCACACACGAGCACATTTCACCCACCACTCTTCGTCGCCTGTTTCGCAAGATTCACACACTAAAAAACAACGGGAAAAATGCGTGCATTTGCGCCATCAAACGATACGTTACAGACTCGTTTTATGAGAAAAGTTTCCATCGTCAACCCGCGCGCGCGAAAGCTCGAGCGCTCGTGCTTCGGAGGCAGTTCGAACGTTCGAACTCCGAAGGGAGGCCGGGAGGCGAGCCGAGCGAGCCGCGAGTAGCCCATCGAGCCAGACGAGCGGCGGAGCGAGCTGCCGAGTGGCCGAATCCGCCGATCCAGCCAAGCCTAGCCGAGCCGCCGAGATGCGCGATTGCGCCATTGCGCAGCGACCGCGACCGCGCCAACCCGGCGAGACGGCGGCGATGGCGGGACCGACGGATAACAGCTCGTCAAGTTCGTCGCGCACTTTGCTTGTGGGGTCCAAGTGAAACCAACGCACTTTCAATCGCTTCGAAAGGTACGTATAGACGACTTTATTACTTGCAGCATTGAGTGCTTTGGTATACACAGATCAAAGTGAACACTGAAGGACAGAAGCGAGACATGATGTTTTGAAATCGCAGCTTATTTGAACGCATGCGTCCCCTGCTGAAAGCGTCTGGCTGTGCTCTGTTGCAGACGTCATTTCGACTGCGTGTACTCTGATGTAACGTCAGTCAGTGTTTACACTCGGCTAGCTATCACTCGGCTTGTTATCTCATGTGCGAAATAGACGTAGAAACCAGCGCCTCGTCTCTTTCGGATATTCAACCTCCAGCCCCCTGGCTCCCAGCGTGCTTACCGGCGCTAACCGTTCGACGTGTTGGATTCGTGGGCTCGTTCGAAGAGGCGTTGTTTAACGCTCACGAGTCGCCGAAGTGTTACCGGAGCTTCTCTTTACGAAAGTCGCGATCGACGCTGGGCTCTGAGCTCGTACTTTTTTCTTCCCTGGTAGACTAGAGTGCCGACCATTCATCTGTGGTGCCGACTGGCGCCGTACGAAGTTGAGAAAAGCTAGCGAGTCTGTCAGATTTTCGTGACGCCGCCCAACTGCTCTGCTACCGGCTGCGCTCAACAAATAAAGTTAAAAAAAAACGCGTTTTTTAATTTTTATTTTTTTTTTTATTTTTTTTTGTTAGGTTTCATTTTAGTCGCCGCAAAGTAAACCGCGGCCGTACGTCGGCTGACTCCCGATTACTGTCTCTACATCGTAGATTGTCTCACCACAATGGTGCCTCGTTGGTGTGATCTTATTCTGATATCGTTACATCTTGCTTTTTCATCTTGGCACACTTCTAGACGACCTTCTACACATTGCACTCCTTGTCGACATGTCGCTGGTGTTAGAGACAAATCTGTCGCTGTTTGCTCACTCCTTGGTGCACATATTTCATGTTCAACATCAGGTATCTGAAGGAGGCGCCATGAAACACTGGAGTTTGTTTAGAGGTACCTGAACATACTGTATTCAAGTGTCGTTTTGTGTGTTATAGTTTCCTACAAAACCAAATAGCACTTTGTTCGTAATATACCCTATAACTGTTCACTACAATTAAAGTTGCAATGAAACATTGGCCACGAGAGGTGACTCGGCCAACGCAGCCTGAAAATTCCTCGCATAATTTTCTTCATGGGTCATTTTGGACATTGAAAAGTTTCTTGTGAATAATGAGTGTTATGCACATGTGTTCTACTTTTCATACAGGTACTTCAGTTAGATAAACCCAAGCAAAGGCAGCAAGACAGTCTCATGGGGTCACACCAAGGATAACTGCACTCCTGCTCGAGTCCCGAGTCTTGTCACCAAACTTCAGTGAACATAATGGTACATTCCGTTTCCTTAACTTTTTCTTCTGAAATGTGTTTTTCTTATTGTTGCTTTTTTCTATTGAAAAAAGGGTAGTACAACGTTTAAACACCCAAGCGTTCATAAATGGTCTCTGTACTAGACAATAGGGTGTCTTATACTCTGTTTCATACTTAGCGTGCAACGCTGTCAAAGGTACTAAAGTGGTGCGCATGAAAAAATAGCAAAACTGTTACTCCGCGCGTTTCGTGGACGAGTGGTAGAAGGCGCTGCTCTGGCGATATTGACGTCTCGGTGGCCGTGGTTCAAACCCATTTTACGCGCAAAGTTTTTTTTTTTCTTTTTTTTTTTTAGACATACTTTTCGTGCAAGATTGTGCGCATTGACGAAGTGCATATTTCAGTTCCTCCTTCTTGATTTTTATTTATAAGTCGCCGAGAGGCCAGATTTCTACCATCTGCTCTGCCGCTTTGCAAGTGTTATTTGCCTCCAGCACCGAGTGATATTTTTCTTTCGTGCAGCGTGGAATGAGGAATCGCCCTGATAGCGGCCTTGTCCCAAAATTTATAATAAAACGTTAATCGACAATAGTT